AGGAATGGTAACAGCTTTTGTTTCTGTTTTGTCATGTCTGCTCGTCATTGGGGATTGTGAGCGGTACCCCCTGCTCGCAACCCCTGGTAATATGGTTAGCATAACTAATGCCATTTTGTAAGGCAGGCAGCCATTCTCTGTGAAGGAGCGGGTCATGTATTCGTTCCCTTAGCCTTCATTCTCAGGCCCTGAAGGTCTTGTGAACCAAGTAGACAAACCAAACAGATTTCTTCCTCCCCTCCCTATTGTCCTCAAGGTTGCTGGGCGCCAGGCCGATTACTCCCTTCCTCACCGGCCTTGAAGGTCCCAGGCACCCAGCCAGCCCGGTGGTGGTGATGTCCCTGGCACGGAACAGGGAAGCGTAACAGCACACACTGGAGCGCTGTCCATAACATCAAGCAGTTACAAGTCCTATGGGGGGAACTTGGACCAGAGCTGCTGCTGGTCAGCGAGACCCTTGACCCCCTGTGGCCAGGGACGCCTCCACTGTCCTCTGCTTCCTCTGAGGATTGGCTGAGTGACTCGTCTTCTTTTATGTCATATTTGAGTCTAGATTATGATTGTTATTGTTGTATGATTGTATTATTGATACAGCAAGCCATGTATTAAGATCTGACCCGATCTGCAGAGGTAATTAGAAACCACAGGTTAAGTTGTATTATAAATTCTGTATTACGCTACTTATAAATTGTGCTACATTGATTCTGCTTGTGCCATTCTAATCATAAATTCTATGCTATGCTAATTATAATATCCTGTTAAAAATACAAAGTTTTAATTGTAACTACGATTTAGTGCTGTCATCATTCTGCCAAGGATCCTGAGAAGAATCTCTCTGTCCCCTCAGTGCCGGGGATCATAGTACATATCATACAAATCACTTTTTTCTTCTAAATATGTCTTTGTGACCACCAAGTGGAAGCTCATCAGGCTTGAACAAGATACCGGCAGCTGCCACGCTGCGGGTTTAGTCATCACGCACAAGCAACAACTTCTGCGCCATAACTGCATTGCACCAGGCTGGGCTGTCTTCATGAGCACCTGCTCACACTTCTCCAGCCATTTCCTGAGCCAAACCATCGCTGCCCGACCGGTTTCTCTTGGAGCCAATATCAGTCTTCTCAGGGCTTCAGGGCTGAGACCATTTCCTAAAACCTTCCTGACCACCCCACTTCCCACAGGAATGCAAATGCAAATAGTCTTTCTTCTGCCAGTCAAAATACAACTTCCGTAGACATCCCACTCCTCTCCTGCTGGGGACACAAGCTAGCAGGGGCTATGGACAGAGCAGGATGTTGGACACGGAGCCGCAAGGAGCCTAGAGCAGGGGCTGGCGCTGCATAGCTCTCTCTCCTCAGATGGCAGCAGACACACGGAGCAGCAGAGGAGACGATGAGCTACTGGGAAAGAGGGAATCCAAACAGGGAGAAAAGAAAACTGGGGGAAAGGGGGCTCAGACAGCTGCTGTCTTCTGAGCTGTGTTCTCTGAGACGTTATCAACAGCTTTCACAGACGTTCTCTTCTCTCAGAAATAATGCAGAGGTCACACATGAATATATCATCATTACGAGTTAGTGAAGACAAGCAACATAAAGTGACTGTTCATAACACTGTGCCATAAAAATGGGTTACCACTAGTTTTCTTAGCTACAGGGGTTTTATGGGATATGAAATGTACCTGCTTTGTCTTCATAATCAGCATAACCATATTAAATACGACAAAAACAACAGAGAAAGGGGCTAATTTAAAAGCCCATGTAAGAGTACAGTTAAGCTTAAGACTCAGTCATTACCCTACCTACTATTTTTGTAGCCAAATTTGGTGCTCAAAGGAACAGTAGGTTATTAAGACTCAAGACGCTAGGTTAACTTATACTGCAGGAAAAGTTTAATTCCTACACACATGTTAAAGTGACTTCCTTATGACATAATTTCTTTGCTTAATTTAGATCCTTAACATTCACTTTAAGTACAGTCTTTAATATACTTTTTACAACAGAAGACTATGAGTATATAATACAACATAATGGTGCTGCAGTAGTGCAGATACTACCATTTATATGCTTGCGTCCCTGTCTGAACTAAGAATTTCTCTGGTATTACTGAAAATTCAACAGTTCAACCAGGCTGAGGTTGCCAGTTAGCATTTTGGGGTTGGGAGCAATTTGTTTGCTACCATTAGTTCAGGCATACAAGCTTTCAACACCCGGCTTAATTGGACAATTAAAAAAAACGCCCTGAAGCCCAAGAGACAGTAAAATACAACTGAAGAGAAAAACAAGTCCAGGAAAGTAGTTTACCAACTAGTGCCCATGCAAAGGCACAATTCTTTCAAAACTTGATTTTTTTCCATACTGAACTTTTTTCTCCCAACTTGAGGGGAAATGAGTTCATGGGTGCTATTGTAACAGAAGTCTGTTCTTGTAGTCTTTTTTTACATGGTCATTTTTGTTACCTTTGGATGGGTGCTCAATGGAGACAAAACATGTAAGAGCATGCGTCTGCTGAAAAGTATTACTGACGGCAAAAGTGGTTAGAATGCACTGGCTTTGCACTAGGTGAAAATGGAGTGCCATCATCTGAGCAAGTCAGATTCTACAATAACAAATGTCACTATAACCAGTATGTTCATTACTGCATTTCAGTTAATCTAATTTTGGCAAATACCATATATAAGCAATTATTCCATGATACAGACAGTTCCCTACCCAGTAAACTCTATCAGCTATGGAAACTACTGCCTTTTCTCTATATCTCAACAGTCTAACGCTTAGCTCTTTGTTTTTCCTTCCGGCCAGCTGAATCAAATCAGTTGATAGCATTAGTAACACTGGCTTGGATAGCCAGTAGAAAATTGCTGTCACTTTGTAGCTAAAGAAAATTCAAAACAAGAGGAATTATTTGCAGTGTGTTATTAGTAAAAGCAAACGGTAGCCACCACTAAGACTGACTATACTGTACAAGTACAACTCACGTGTTTGAGGACCTACCTCCTGCAACTGGTTTGTCCAATGGTAGATCATCTTGTGTCGAATTCAAAAGCTCATGCCTAAAAGATTTAAGATACACCTTTATAAACCAGAAGTTACAGCCTCAAGTTACCACTGAAGGATCCGGAAAAAAAATAACAGGGGACATGATGATCCCCAACGTTAAATTCCAATTAACACCAAAGTATTATAAGAGCTGGCTGGAACCCTACTGACAAAAACATTTTTCATGCCTGATACCCATATCCACCTGAGCCATACCATTTCATGGTAACATACAGATTTACATTAAAATTATCTCTGAGGTCTAAGACGCACTTCCTCAGAAACAAAGATCCAAATCAAAAATTTAACCTTTAAAAATGAAAGTCTCAAAGCAGACATTTCTGTTTCCCAAATACATCTAGTTTTATCCATATTAGAACAACAAAAAATTTAAGAATTCTGACATTTCTCACAGAGCTGAACTGGTTTTTGAGCTGCTCCAGTTACCACACATTACAAAACGGATGAACAGCATAAATTAATTACTGTTAACAACTAAGACAAATTTGACAAGAGCAGGTGCCAGCATTGCATAAATATTGAAATCTACACATAGTGTCTGATTTTAAGTGAGACAAAAGGTAGATCTACACTTCTTCCTCTTTTCTGGTTATCAGCAAGTGTTAGGGTGACAGAAACTGAACATACACCTCTCAAATACGAGAAACTAGCATCCGTGCTAAAGGCAGCGTGCACAGAGGCACGGGCTGTCACTACCACCAGTTCTGAGCCTGACCACTGCCATCAGCAGATTCCTATCCGCTTTGAAAACTCTTGGATTAGGCCCTACACCACTGAACAATAGTAAAACGTCAGCTGTTACTCACAGGAGCTTCATTTAAACTGTAAATGCCCATCTGTGGTATGAAACATCACATCTGTCTGAAGTGAAGCACCAAACTATAAAAGGTAAATATCCACCCACTACCAAAGCTGTGTATCAGTCTGCCACAGTCGTTCCCGCAGTGCTGGATCTCAGAGCGCTCTGCAGCTCCGAGATCCAGCACCCGGCATCCACAGATGCCGGCATCTCTCCCCTGCATATCCTGAATTCAGGCTCGGTCCAGGCTCCCTTCCAATCCCACCTGCCTTTGCAGAAAGTAATGTCAGGGTTCTTCTAGGAGAGACACCAAGGCAAGAAAGGAGAAAAAGAGAAAGAAAGGAGCCCAGAACATCTCATAAGTCTCATGTACTCACTTTAAAGGCAGATGATACTCTGCCAGGCTAGCTACGGCAGGCAACTGAGCCCTCAAGCAGTTTCTATGTACATCTAAGGTCTCCCTTCATGTACACTATCTGATCTACCTCCAGACACACCAAGGACACACATCCAACTAAATAACAGGAACCAGCAGCTATTTTGGCCTCAAGTCTGCCCTCGGAGACGCTATATACAGATACAGCTGTAGACACCTTGATACAGCATTCCAGCAAGAAAAAAAATAAAAAGCACAAGCTGAAATTTAAGCCAGGATCCTCAGATAGCATAAAATATCCCCAAGTCAATAGCTTTCAATGTGTATTAGAGCCGCAGAGATTAAAATAGTACAAAGAGATCTGCCCATGACAAAAAGTCCATAATATTGAAGAGATCTGTCCAGATCGCAGCCACCACTGTGGTGCTCTGGTGACCTGATAAGCTGAATTTGTCAGAGTGAACATCAACTAAAAATGACTCATCAGCACTGCAAAAGAATACATCAGTAGAAATCAGTTTGGAAGTTCTTGAAGATAAAATGAAGCAGAGTGGAGCCAGCAGAAAACAATGAGTAATATAGGGACAAAAATGCAAAATTCCTTACTTTTTAATCACAAACCGGATCCGCTCCTTTGCTAGAAGTATCCTCTCAAGACGGGGAATGCCGTATGTGGATGGCCGCCTGAAGGGAATTCCTTCTGGCAGCCCTTCCA